GGAATCATTAGACTGTCCCTGACAAGACTGGAAAAGGGCTTGCCACATTGTTGGAAAAAGTCTGGAGACAAGTGGCCCAGAAACACATACACTATCTCATAAGGACCTTTTCTAGGGAAGCTGCCTAAAGGTATTTTCCATCTACATTATCCTACAGAATAGCTCCAGATGAAGGTGGATATTTTGCATGTCTTTTTTGTCCTCTTTTTATTTAGGAAAAATTTATATCCAGCTGCAACTCTACACTGAAACATTCACAATTTCGTCTTCATGTCAGACTTCGGCTCTCCTATTATGATTTGCACAAGATATGGTGCTAAATTTAGACATAACTTTTGGAAGAATACTGTGATGTGAATCCAACTGTTCATTTTTTTCTCTTTTTCAAAGTTGCTTAAACTATAAGAAGCAGAAAAAAACCTTAAGTGGACTACCAACCTACTTAAATCATTTCAGCCCTCTCATTCTACTGGTTCCTCCAACAGAAGTTGTGCATCCTCCTTTTCACAGGTCTTCTATAGTCTTTTGGTCTCCCATTACAAGATCAGCTCCCACATCTGATCACTCATGATGCTCTTACAGTGCGCCCGTGCTGGATTTTCAGCACAAACTCTTTTCTGCTTGTCACAGTTGTCATCAGTTATACCCAGCTGGCAACTAAGCCCCACGCAGTTGCCCGCTCACCCTTCCACCCGTGGGATCAGGGAGACAATCGGGAAAACAAAATTGAGAAAACTAATGGGTTGAGACAAAGACACTTCTATAGGTAAAACAAAAGCCATGCACACAAGCAAAGCAAAACAAGGAATTCAGTCACCACTTCCCATAGGCAGGCAGGTGTTCACCCATTCTCAGGAATGTAGGGCTCCAGCAAGCATAACAGGGTTTTGGGAAACGATATTATTCCAAATGTTCCCCTCTTCCTCCTTCTTCCCCATCTGTATTTGCTGAATATGATGTCATATAGTATGGGAAATCCCTGTGGTCATTTGGGGTCAGCTATCCTGGCTGTGTCCCTTCCAACTCCTTGTGCACTCCCAACCTTGTCACTGACATGGTGGTATGAGAAGCAGAAAAGGCCTTGTTGCTGTGTAAGGGCTGCTCAGCAATAACAAAAGCATGTCTGTTATCAATATGTTTCAGCAGAAGTCCAAAACACTAGCCACTTTAAAGAAAATTAACTCGATGCCCAAAAACAGGACACTTCTTTATGTTTTGTTACTCTTTATATCTCTTAGAGGTTCTTCTGGTCTGCCTTGGATCAGTCTAATCATCTGTCTTCTTGACTGTGGCATCTACAACAGGTGGGTTCTTCTCCCTTGTAGTTCACTTCTGACAATATTAATTTGTTTATTTTGTCTAACATCAAGTGCCAATTTTTTAATAGTGAAGTCTCTGTTTGTACACTATATAGCTGTAGGTTTTGGGTCATCAGTTTGGTTTTGGTTTCCTTAACAGGAACATTACCTACAGGCAAGATAACTGGAGAAGAGCACCAAGGCTAAATAGCTGTCACTGCTATCATTTACTGAATGAACGACACATGGTGAGACTTCAGGAAAATCAGTACGTAGTTACACTGTGAAATTAAAAGAAGAAATAAACAAGGGAATGGAGAAAAGAGGGAGAAAAAGAGGAATAGGACAGAACATTACTAAGGAAGAGTACAGGAGAAATGAAAAACTATAAAAGACAAGAGCGAAAGAGGTGAGCTGGAGTTGAAGTAAGAACAACAGGGAGCCTGGGGAGAAGGCAACAGGAAAAAATCAAGTCTGTACAATCTCTAAAAGCTCATTTCACTGAGGTACCTGAATGTCAACCACTATATTATGAAGCTGAGCTCATGGATGTTAGGCATTTTGCCATGTTTTTTCACATACTTTTAAAGACTCAAAAAGCTATTTCCACCTACCCACAAGCACTGCTTATATCAGCCCAGCCTGGATCTTAGCTGACAGTATCCCTGTCCTGGGAGACTGGTGGAGTTCCTGTATTTCCATCCACACCCTCCATCTACTTCTTGGTACAACACAGCTAATTCTTAAGACACTTTTTTGTTCAGATACTCCCATTCTTTCTTCTCCCAATTTCTCCTGTACAAACAACAGATTGCATTGCATCTGACATGTCGGTTTGATCTACAAAGGGAAAAACAAACCAAAAATGCCGCTTTTCTTTTCCTTTTGTCAGGCCTCCCGTGCTTCTTTTGGCAGATGTTTTTTTCTTGAACTTCCTTCTAAAGATTTCTGTTTCATTTTCTCTACAGCTATTTAACTTGGTTTTCTACTGACTGCCTGTGTTTTATCATTTTTACAGTGCTTTACAGACACCCTGCTAATTCTTTCATTCTCTTTTGAAGCAGTGAGACATTATTCCCATTTCACACACAAGGAAAAAGAAGGAGGGAGGCTGTGAAGTTCATAGAAAGCACTCTGCCTGCACCTGACCACAAAACCACAATATCGTCTCATATTATTACTGTAAGCAATATTCTATGTCAGCTTCTCATTCTCAAATTTGTCCTTCTGAGTATCCTGGACACAAAGACTGCAGTGCGTATGTATTGTAGTCATGAACAACTTCTTTAAGCCTGGAGCACAGTGACATTCATAGTGAGGAGACACTCAGTGAACCTCCTATTGCCTGGCAATAAAAGCACAAAATCAACTACAAGTACTGCACCCTGGGGTGCAGTATAAACTGTGCAGAATAAACTGTGTTGCTTCTCTCTGCCTTTTTGCAAGAACAGTGCAGTCTTGGATGCATGAAAGGCTTGGGTTGGTGATTTGTTTTGGGTTTGGTTATTTTTTAATTCTTTGACCAGATGAAAGTGGAGAGAATTTTCAACAAATGCCGCGGCAGAGCAGAAGCTACTAGTTCAGCTTAAAATACCTGAGTTGATTTCTGTAGAAGATTATTTGAAATACTAATACCTGTATAAGTACATATTTTCAGATCAAATAATATAACTTCCTTTTTTGGTCAAATTGTGTTCCAAAATGTTGTTGTGGCTATCACAAAATTAAATTGCAGCCACCCTTCTAAACAAAAAAGCAAACGAGTCTCCCCACACACATCCTCCTGTCCAAAACAAAAATTCTGTTATATGTTGATTTCAATTCAAAACTAAAACCTATGAATTTTTACACATGTATGGAGTTCTCTTTATATAAGCTATTCCCTTTATACTTCATAAGTAAGATTGCTTTTTTGCACGCTTAAGCAAAAACTGAATTTTATAATTAGTACCATAAATGGTCTCACAACTGGGAACAGAAACAACTTTACTGCTATAATCTCACTGCTTCATAACAACTGAGTAACATGGATTAGATTTAATTTACTTCTGCGAAATCCTTAAAGGAAATGGCACAAACTTAAACTGGCTAAATAAATTTGAGAAAAATTGATTCTTGGACATTACAGCAAAAGGAACTGAATTCTTTGATTGAATGGCTTGATCTTATTGATCCTTTACTAATAACATATTTTTGATAGTGTTTTATTTTTGAGATGTACAGAATTCTTATTCCCCTCACAGTAATCTACATTCCATTCTTCTCTGAAATTATCTATAGAAAAAAAATGTTTGTTCTTTTGAAGTATCTTTTTTTAGCAGAAGGATTTTTTTTAAATGTCTGTTCTGTAGGGTGGTGGAAAAGGCTACTTTTTCTCAAAAAATATTATAAACACTCTGGAAGGCAGATGATTTGATCAGATGATCAGTAATGAAATTATATGTCGTGAGCAAGTGGGGTTTTTTTCAGCAGTTGTGTTTTTCACTTTAACGTATAGTAGCACTTTTTGCATTATTAGAAAAGAATAAGTTAGAGGTATCACCTGTCTGACATTATATGATTGAATCAGTTCTGTAGTTGAATCACTATCATTACTAGTGATTCATTGACAATTGCTACTCAAGAATAATGAAGAATATGCTTAATTCATCATTGTACATCTAATACACTTTTTTTTTTCTGATTCATCCAGTGTTTAATGATATTCATATGTCAAAACACAGAACACCTTTTCCCTAGGCCTTCAAAGTTGAATTTATAAAACACTCATGCATAAAAACAGATTAAACAACCTGAAAGGAGGTGCTGTGTGTCTCTAACACAGCTCTACAACACATTGATGTAGAGAGGAGCTCTGTGTGAGAGTCCAAATTAACACTCTTGGCAGTAGAAAAATACTGACACAAGATCTCTGTGGCTTTCAGAGCTTTTCTGAGGTCACATAAATTGAAATAAGATAATTAATACATTTTCTAAATTAACATGTAATTTCAAAGATTAAAAAAACACAGTGGCAGGATCTGAAATCCCGTAGTAGTCCTTGTCTTCACAGCTGTAAATGTATTGCTTTTTCTATCTGTCTCTAATTTTCTATATGTCTCAAAACAATTACTGTACATGTTATTCCAGAGGTCCTTATAGATAACACATTTCATGTTAACATTTTCTATGGGAATAAGTTAGAATTACATTTGGCCCTGAGGAATTTGCACTGTACCTAATTCTGAGCATAGTGTTTTTCTGTGCTGAAAAAGAGACACTGTCTCTTAGTAATTTCTGCAGCAAGCAGGCTCTTGCAAAATTTCACCAATAATTTGGTGACTATATGGCAACCTCTATACAGTTGTTTAATAAGTATTCAAACAAGTTCACTCCTTTAAAGTCATTGCTTTGTGATCTGCTTGTATTTATCACACTACTGAATCTCCTGTTCACCTGTTTTCTCAGGGTGCTCCAAAAGAAAGTCATGCTGCCCAGACTGCTAATGTCTTGAGATTGGTACTACCAATAGTACAGATAAAGCCTGTTTGGCTAGGTTATTCACCAAAAGCCTATGTTATAGTTCAAGAATCTAAACCTTCATTTCCTCATAAAGATTATTCTTTCCCACATTCTATTTTATTTAAATTTAGAGTAAAAATTCTACTAATCCCTGGAAAATGTGACAGATTGTACTTAATTCTTAAGAGCTGCACTGCTTACCTGTTCAGTATTGATGAGTCAAAGCAAATTTTTGGCTGTTTGATTTGACTGTGTGAGGTGGCTTTGCAAGTTGGTCAGCTGCCTCCAGCTGGGAATGTACCAGGGTGGTCATGGTACCTGGAGAGGAGATGGTTTCATCAGCATCACATCACGGTGAGGCACATTGCCCAGAAGATAGTTGTAAGTCACCTATCTTCCCAGACTCTTCACAGTAAATCCTCTGCCAAAAACATCTGAAAAAGGGACCATAAAGGATTTTCCCATATTTATTTCCTTCATTACCCAAAACCTGATGAACACATTGAAATCTGTAGGATAATCTATCAGTGACTATCTCATTGTCTGGGGCACCCATGCTGAAGTATCTCCAGAGACCTAAATACACACTGTTTAAAGGCCTAATTAAAAACCAATACACATAATAAATACTTCAGCTATTTTTTTTTTATTTTTGAGTCCCTGTAAGAGAGCTGAAGTGAGGGGGTTAGTTTTCTGTATTTTTTTTCAAAGACCATCTCTCTCACAACCAGTATTCCACTTCCCTGAGGCTTCTAGATGTGATTTTATTTATTATTTATAAAGAGGCTAAAGCATCTCTCAGACAGACAGACAGATAGTTCCTCACATCAGGAATTCCCAGCCTATAGTATGAAGCCCTGGGGCCAAACCGACTGCAGAGACAGACAACCACAGCACCACACTGTTTAGCTGAGTTGTGCTTGCATAATCTGGCAGCAAATGTTTAATCTTGTGTTTGTAAAATCACGCCTTGGTACTGAAACAGTTTTGATGCAGTGAATTTGATCAGATGATTTTGCAGCAAAAGGAAAAGATTGCTTATCTGTTCAAATGTCCTCCTCTGTTTCAATGGAGTTCCATAATTAACATCTGAAATAACAATTTAAAAATCCAAACAATTAGCTGCTCACTTTATCAGAGGTGTATAACTTAAAGAGCAAATTATTTACATTTTTCTTCTTTAAATTGAAAAGCAAGGGCAACAGATTTAAAGAATATAAGAAAATGAAACTAAAACAGCAGTCTACAGTTCCAAGTGCCTATGTGAGCCAGAGCACACTTCGTGATCAGCTGGACCTTTCATTTCTCTTGAAAGACTTCAACCATCTTGACCTGTCTTTCAGCATATCCTTCTGCCATTAGCCTTGCATAGAAGCAAAAAACCTTTACCTTCCTTATATTCCATCTATTATCATTACACCCTTAGTATTGCAAATGTAAACACTGAACTTTGAAATGTGTTGACAGTTGTGGGAATTAATCTCTTCTCAGTATGCATACCACAGGTAAATAATAGATTTTAGATATTTCATACTTGCAGTGGAAATACATAGCCATAATTTTCAGGACTGCTTTCTCCATGAGGGAAATGGTAAAACATAGACCATATATTTTTCAGGTCAAATCTTCACTGTTTGACAGTTTTGGAGTTAAGGTCCTTCGTTTGCTTAGTGAGTATTGTCCTTTTTCTGACAGCAAAATTTATTTTCTTTGTTTCTCTTTATCAGATTTTGTACTGACTTTTTTAGTAGTGATGTAAAGGACATTTAATCCAAACTGTCTGAAATTATGAAGTGTAAAAGGAGACATCTATCTCATTATAGTTTTTGGCTCTCTGAAGAGGTACCTGGGGAGGCAGGCATAGTAAGGGGATCCAAGGTGATATCCCATCCATTGGAGGATGAGAAAAGTTTAAGGCTGGGATGAAGTGAGGACTTGGTTCAGGGCCTTGGCTGGGTGTAGGCATGGCAGCAGGAATGCAGAAACCCCTGGGGCCAAGGCATGGTGCCCTTAGCCCTACAGCCAAATCTGTGGCTGGGCAGAGGCAGTCAGCACCCTGACAGGAAGAACAGTGCTCATCTCTGTTCAGCATTACCAAGTACCACAATGTGACATAGTTTAGGTGTTCCTGGAAGACACTCTATGGATGATATTTTGCAGAACGATTTCCCCACCTTTTCCTTTTTTCTTCTCTGCAGAGACTAAGGAGGGTCTACCGCACAGCCCAGCCCCCAGACGACTCCACTAAAGATATGGCAGGAGCAGTTAGCTGTTCCTCTGAACAAAGGAAAGAAGAATTATATAAATCTCACTTTTTCATTCTTAGTGCACTTAGAAAAACTCTCATAGAATAACAATTGCCCTGGTAATTTGTGTCCAACTGATGGCAGGTTTTGCCTTTGAGTCCTGAACTACAAAGACAAATTTAATGCTTGCATATACTATGTATATTCTGGGTCATTTCTTCGACTTTCAATAATCTCAGCATATTGATATCATGTCTTTTCCTCAACAGACATACACTAAGTCAAGAATGACAAGCCCAATCCCTGAGCTATTTCAGATTCTTCTGTCATTTTGTCATTCAGATTCTTCTTCATCCTCACTACTTTTATTAGTTTCTTTATTGAGCATTGAAGTAGGACATTTATTATTTGATGCTGCAAAATACACCACATTAAATTAAAAGCACAATTAACAAAGGTTTTCGTGAATCTGTTTCAACTACAAGGAGCATAAATGTATCGTCCTGAGATCCACCTTGCATATTTATGTTCTGTCAGCTGTTTTTATCAGAAACTTATTTCTGGACCTCTCTCCCAGGCTGTGCTGCCTTTTCCCAGGCCCAAGCACTGGAAAAGTACTCAGTCCATAGAACTGATTCCAGTGTGACGCTTCCACTTTATACATGAAATATAATGAGATGCCAGCGTCCTAAAGAGCAAGAGCGAGATCAGCAAAACCCAGCTGTGAATGAACATAGCTTTGTTAGCTGAAGTATACTTACCAAGGACCTTTCTGCATCTCTGGGGAGAAAGTTCCCCTTGGTGCAATTCCATTTGGTTGAATCAGTTCCGCACCTCCTCATGCCAAGTCTGAACCTGTCTGTGGTCAAATGAGTACTTTGTCATATAGTCATAAACCGATTTCTACATCTGCAACTGTTTGCAGACTCTGACCCAGGGGCTGGTAAAATCACCACATTCCAGACAAGATTTTTAGATCGTTTCTTTTCAAGGGTTTAACATACTTGGCCTCTCAGCTACAATTTTTTTCTACATTAATTTAGATACTAATCACTGACACCATTTGGTCAACATGATGTCATTTAAACTAGAATCTGATCTACTGCACCACAAAGTCTCCAGAGTAATTCTAAATGAGCTAAAAGTGTCTTGGAATTGAGCAAAAGCATGTGTATATAAGCACATTTATGTATTTTCTGATCAACAAGTTTTAAAATCATATTCAAATTCTCTCCCTCTGCTTGCATGCTTAATGTGACCTGTAGACCCATCATGCTATTAGAATTTCATTTCAGGTTTTGCTTTGATCTATACATTTCTTTCTCTGCAAGTAGATCAAAGCCTACAGGATTCGAAACAAATCAGGAGGGGCGGGGGGAGAAAAAGTGGACCACTTTTGTTAAGATACTTTCCATATTATTTCTACAGTCAATTTATTTAAAGAGGGCAGGAGAGCTGGTATGCATGCACAAACAATATATAGGTTCAACTTACTCATAATTAATTGTGAATGGAATCTGGCTCATGAAGTTCAGGAAAACAGCAACACATAAGGCCTCCACTTATTTTATGGGTAACATGTTGTACTTTCTGTCAACTCCAAAAGAAAACAAATACCATTTTCCTGTAGAAATCTTGATGGACTGGAAAAACAATGGTGGGATGAACAGAAAAACAAACAAATTCTACCAAGTGGATGTTGATTTTGCCTCTCTCTGAACAGTGTCCAAGAATTAAATAACTCAGCCATGATGTTATAGCAAGTAGCTGGAACTTTTTAGACATAGATATAATCAAGGTTGTTTTTCTAACATACAGACACAAATTAAAATGAATGAGAAGATGTAATCATTTGCAGAAGTAGGTTTGATATTTCTTTCTGGCAACACTTAATCCACGCACTGTAGACCCTGAGGACCTGTGGACTATTTCTACGGTTTCTGAGAAAAGGAGTTAAAGATGTCATCTCTGCAGTCAATAGGTTTATATTCTCTCAACATCCTCTGGAAAACTTTTAGGGATCCTGAAACTGCACCCTGTGGAACCATAATTCTCCATTTTGTGCTACTTCAAAATTAAGGTACCAGAAATAAATACTACTTCTCAGACAAGGCACCAGAAATAAATAGTGAAATCATTTAAAGGTTTAGTTTTGGAGTGCAGGAGACCACTTTTTTAAGGGACAACACTCTAATCAGCACACTCAGCCTGAGGATAGATTTGTACAGCAGTAAAAAACACCAAAGTCCCCACGTAACCCCTGGTCGCAGGCAGTGAGATGCGTACCCTCCCCGCACATGCTGCCCGGCCCTCTGCCAGCAGCCAGGGTGCAGCTCAGGGCCTTTCATGAGTCTCTGGCCCCTTTCTCAGGGCCCCACATCCCTTTTGCAGCCAGCTCTGCTGTGGCTTCCTCTAACTTCCCACGGCCCTCCCTCACCAGCAACACATCGGAGAGTAGAAGGCGACTCCTGGACATTGAACTGGGAGTTGCTGCGCTAAGACAATGGTAGGTTAATTGGGTTTCAGTCCTCTGCCTGTTTATATGTGAGGCACAGGAAGGCTGACTGTGGGGAAGAAACCTTCATGTACTGAGCGTGTCAGCAGCTTGTATTTCACCTCAGCTGGGAGTTGTGTGGCCTGGCCAAGTGTCAGAGCAGAGACTGTGTAAACAAATGTACAGATGATTTTTTTTCTCTTACACAGCAGAGCTGTAACAGCTGTGTTCATGTTTGCTCAGCATGCTCATGACTGTTGCAGTGACTAGAAAGATTCAGGCTTTGGTTCAATTTTTGGTTTACTTTCCCCTTTGTTTTAATAGAGAGGAAAGAATGGCTTTAACTTCCCTAGGAGCACAAAAGTCCTTCTATATTCCTGTTGACAATTCATCATTGATAGGTTTTTTTTAAGTTTCTTGCAACACATCATCAGATTTCTAAGAATAGATCATTATTAGATCTTACACGATTTTCCAAAACACTGGGGTTTTTTCCCAGTGTCAAGGGATGGGATCAGTTGCTAGAAAATGTGATGCTTTTAGAATCATCATTTTTTATATGGAAAGAGAACATTCTGTTACGCACTGAAGCTTATATCCTGCTGCTACAACTCCATGGATACTATTTTTCAAATATTCTCTTGTTATACTCTGTTATACTTTTTTGATCTTGAAAGGGAAAGAAAATTCCACATCATTCACATTCTCATATAGAGAAATATTAAACTATATGACCCTTACCGAAAGCCTCATTGTTATGACCATATAATAATTAGTATATATATAGCATAATATATATAATTAGTAATATATGTATTGTATTACAAAATATAATAACTATGTGTTCCTAGAGTGCCTCTTTGAAATAGGAGTTCTGTTATTCTGATAATTTTACTGTATTTTTTAAAACTATAGTCACTGTGATTTTTGAAGTATCTGTTTGGGTACTTTGTCCAAGCTACTTTAATCCAAATTTTTTTAAAAATTCATTATGAATTATTATTTGAAAGCAAAATTTTTTAACATTTAAAAAAATATTACATTATGCTTATTATTGATCACATGATAAGTGAATGACACAGAAACTGTATCTTCAGTTTCTTGTACTCATTCCAGTGCCTGGAAGCATTGGTTGATTTTGTCCTCTGCATTTTACATAACATGAGTACCTCTGAGGAAGGAATGTTCATAATCTAATCTGATCTAATGGAAGAGAGCTTAATCACATGGGTGTTTTAAGAAATACTGAATTCATACAAATATGTGTCAGACCAATAACTATTTCATCTGGGTACCACACACAGAGGAAGATTTCTGAAATTATGTATGATCCATTAGATCCCATTGAGTTACTCTATTAACTCCTATCATTTAAAAAGTTAAAAATTTATTATTCTGTGGAGAAAAAAGTATGGAACATACTTTTCTCTCCTAGAGGAGGGAAAATTCATTTTTCTGTTTATATGTGCAGTGAAAAAGGGCAATATTTTGAAGGAATCTGATAATTTAATGAAAAATAATGGTTGCAAAAATAACATAACAATTTGCTAGAAAGTAGTGATGAATTTCTTTAAAGGATAATTTCACTATTGAAATTGAGAAGGTGGTTTACAAGGAGAGTCACTGCCAGTAAGTTGTGATATTCTAGAAAAAATGGCTGAGAGAATGACTCTCAATAGACTGCCACGAGGCAAAATTAGTTCAGTTTTGATTTCGAGAAACTATTTCTGTGATTTTTTTTCAGAGTTTAGGCTTCTATATGAGTGATTATTGTTGCCAGTAAGAATGCTGTAAAGCACTTCCAACCCTAAATTTCCAATAAGTTATTTTATGTGTGAATTTTGTTTTACACTATGAAGTCTGCTAACAAAATGTGCAGAGAGAGTTTGACTAATTCACAGACTAGTAATCTGCAGAGAAAATACTTTCTCTGGTTACCCATGCTACAGTTTTTATCTGGTAAGGTTAGTTAGATTTCTACACTCTCCACCTTCTGTGCTTCATACAGAGAACTCGTCCAGAAAATTTATTAGTTTTGAGAAGACACTGTACTTTTCTAGTCCCCTTTGGCAGAACGAGCTAAACCACACAACTTCACCCTTGGTGAAGCATGAAGGTGACCACAAGAGGAGCCAGAGCACAGAAAAAGTTCAACTATGCCCATTCTGGACTATTTTCCTTAGGAAGGTGTCAGATTGAGCCTTCTAGCTGCACAAGCCAAGGCAGGAGCTATGCTGCACCTTTGCATGGTGAGGGTGACCAAGGGGAGATGAGCAGGGTACTTCACAATGGTGTTCTGCTGATCTGAAAGCATTCCCAGTGGATGATCTGTAAGGTGAGACAGGGAGCTTAGAATCCTAGGCACCTGTGGACAGTTTTGAAAGAGCTGTGGCCTTGAAGCTGGTGACTTAGTTATATTCCCATCTGCCTACTTTTGTTTTGCACGGGGCTATGGCATTGAGTCATTCCTATCAGGATCTGTTATCTAATGCATTGTGCTGGTAAGGCCCAAGACATGAGCAGTTGGGCTGTGCATCTGCTTCTGTGCCAAATTCATCCCAAACAGAATTTAGCATAGTGACCATTGGGCTACTGGTGGATAGCAAAGACAAAACTCCCATTGGCCTTCACATTTCACCTGTTTACATTGTCTAAATACTGGAAACACAGGATCTTTATGAACATTAGCAAGACAGAAGAATGGAGAACAGAAATATGAAGAAAACTCAGTAGCAGCTTTGTCAGGGCTGATGCAGTGGTTAATATGTTTCTTCTACTCTTTAACTGGGGAAGAGCTTTCATGACTGTATGGCCAGTCTTTGCGAGCGAAGATTTGGGAAAGGTCTTTACCCTTCGAGCCTGTGCAGTGGATTTTTTAGGTGAGACACAGTGTGCGCTGAACTGAGCCCAACCTTTAATCCTGAGGTTCATCTGCCGAGGCCAAGCAAGCTTGGACAGTGGCAGCGAGGTCCTCTGGACGTAGGTTTGTTTAGAGTGACCTTCTCTTAGATGGATGGCCTTACAGGGCTGACGAGCTCCATCTGCCCGGGGGAGTTCCCTGACTGGGAATCGAACCCGGGCCGCGGCGGTGAGAGTGCTGCATCCTAACCACTAGACCACCAGGGGGCCCCACTTTCATGATTAAAGCCCTTTATATTGCCCTACTGGTCTAGTCAGCCAGCAAAGATTCTTTCACGACACTCCAATGACTTACAAGAGCAGCAGCCTTGCCTATAACTAGACTAAATCCAGAAAACAACTCTTAAACTACTCTGTGTAACAGCAGCCAAATTCCACACACCAGTTAGAAAATTCACACAACATAGAGATCATCTGAGTGCTTGAGTGTTCTGATACTGACAAATATATTCAGTTATTCCACTTTAATTTGCTGCAAAGTCTGGGCAGAGCTTGAAATATATTCACTTCCAGACTCAGCTACAGGATAGGCAGCAGATAAGGTTCCCTTCACAGGATACCTTTCAACACCACCTATACTTTTCTTTGGGCTGTTAAGATCTAACTTGACAACAGTTCGAGGATAGCCTATTGTTTTTAAGTTTATTATGTTAGGAGTAGGACAGATTTTCTGCTCTTATTTCACTGTTTTTATAAATTTTAAAAAAATTGTTGCTGATACAAAGATAACCTTCATCAGAATTTCATTTTACACAATAATCTTTTAATTAATTGATTTCCTGACAATTTCCTTTAAAATAGAAGCACAAGATATGTCTTGTGAAATGCCCATGTGTTGCAATCACAAAGAACTCTGAGGTTGTGATGCACACCAGTTCTTCTGCAGGAGGACTCCCAGCAGCTGCTCAAGACCTGAATGTTCACTTTTCATTACTAAAACTGGCTTTTTTATTATTTTTGTGCCTTCTTGCCCATGCAGTGCAATCTCTGATTCAATGTGCAAAGTACTATTCATATGAAACCAGCTCTGTGCACTAGCTATTTTAAAAAAGAAAAAGAAAATATTTTAGTCAAAATATTATGATGTATTTGCTGATGCAAAGACCTCATTATATTGTTGTAGTTGTTAAGAACAGAGGAGACAACTCTGCTATGGAGCAGTGTACTTAGAAACCAATGTGTTTAAATGTTAACTCAGATGAAACCATCTATCTAAGTAGTCAACACAAATACAACCTAGAGCATCTTAGTTTTATTTTTTACTTACTATATGTCTAAAGGAGGCTGCTCACTTACAAGTCTCATTTAAGAACAACTCTGTGTGGTACAGCACCACAGGAGTCACGTATTGAGGCCTATTATACCAAATGTGGGCAACGTGATTTGTAGTTACAGACATATATTTACATAATTATATATATATCTATGTGTGTTTAATCATAGTTGCAAAGAAAAATACCATCTTTTTAAGTTCTTGACAAAAAACATAGGACCATGAAAGTTAAGACAAATCATTGACATGGAAGGGATTTGACAAAATGTTGAGCAGCTTCCTGATCTGTTTTCCCAAATGTCCACAGTCATATTACTTACCTATTTTGAAAACCGGATCCCCTTATAAGGTCTAGGCTTTCAGGCTGTTGGAGCCTTTGAGGATTTACTCAATGCAGTGAGAGACTACCAGGATGCCAGCATTTATTTCCTAAGTCATGCAATTACCTTCAGAGCTGTGAAAGCCAAAGCATGTCTGCTGAGTCACAAAATGATTGAGGTTAGAAGGGTCCTCCTGCTCAAAGCAGGATCACTGAGGGGAGCCTGCTTGGGCCATGCAGAGTTCAGTCTTTTGTATCTCCAAAGATGGAGAATCCACAGCCTTTCTGGGCAACCTGTTCACTGACTTTTGTAAGCCCTGTAGCCTTTATTCAGAGTAGAAGTTTCATTGAAGTCACCAGTATATTCACTTCTAGTCCCCCTCGACCTGAGATGAGAAAATGTGCTGACAGCAAGTCATATGAGATAGTGAACAGTCAGCTGGAAAAATGGCATAGACCCCAGGCATATATATTACTAACAAAACATAGGAACCAACTGAC